GAAAATTTCGTCCATAGTTACACTTGTTTATGACTTGGGAGTACATAGCATACCAACTTCAATTATACTAATGAAGTAGGGTTTTTTTACAATATTATACAAAAATTACACTTCGAAGACTCAAATAGTGCAAATCCTTATAGCAAAGTTTAAAACCATAGTCATATTACCAAAGTCATCAAGATATCATAAAACGGACTCAGATTTATTGTACCTTTCTGTATCAAAGTAGTCACAAAATTTAGACCCTCAAATGACTAGTTGAAACTGCTTTTATGGACTAGAAGACCTCAACCGAGACCCCAACTACTGTTTTCACACAGAATCATACAGACTCTCAAAAGGATTCACTCAGAATACTCGAGAAAACATCCAACTAGAAATTGAAGAAGATAAGATGAATAGAGAGAAAACCTTAGCCTCCCTCAAAAGATCAACGTTTGGAATGATTACGGCAACCATAGAAGTTTTTATTTATACCAATAACAATCACAGTTGGTCTCAGATTAAGATTAATGGTCCAGAGTAACTAACAACTAATCAAAAAACCATTACAAACTAAAGTTGAACTTCAGAAATACAATTTCAACCATTTATATTGGGTCCGAGTTTTGGGCCAACTTATGAAATTATCAGGCAATAGTATGCTAAGCCGCTGGACTATAAAAGCCTATTTACTATAATCGCCCTACCGATTTGGACTAAATTTTGACATCATAGCTCAACAGGCAGTCGACAATGTTCTCGTATCGTTTTCAAATAGCTAAATATTGTTTTTCTTTCTAATTTACGTGTACAAAGTGCAAAAGGAATACAAAAAATTACTTCATACGACTCAATGAAATATATAACAATTAATTAAAAGCATGTTTGGCTAAGCTTGTAAGACCCTCAAGTGTGGAATGGATAAATAGAATTAAGGATTTCGAATTGTTTAGTATGTGTATTTGTCTCCCTTTAAAACAAAATTAAAAAAACACATACTTATTTTTAACTATACATTCATACAATAACATATTTTGTACGTAATCTACTTTTTAACTACACATTCTAGAAAAAATCACTATTCAAAACATCATTTTTTCTCAATAATGACCATCAAACAGGGGAGGGGAAATATGACAAGTAAATATTAAACTGATCTCTCTATTCTTTAATTTTAATTTTTTATTTGATTTTTTCACTTACTAAATTTTCAAAAAGTAAAATTATTGACTTAAAACCTTGAAAGGGGTCTTAAAACTTATTTGGATTCAACGATATTGTTAAACATCATGGTATTGTTTTCATTTTACTATCGGATTTAGGGATGTCAAAAAAATCCGTTCCAACCCGCAATCCGTGGAGCCCCGCCCCGAACGGGGAGGGAATTACCCGCCTAATCGGATAAACGGGGCAAGTGCGGGGCGAAAGTCATTGCCTCGAAGCAAGTATGAGGCGGGTACATGAATCATAGTCCTAGGCTCGCTACCCATCCTGTTTAAAATAATTTTAAGTTTAAGTTTTTTATAAAATAAAAATAATATATTTATCATATTTTTAAACAGAACATAAATTGTTTTTAACAAATTGGTAAAATAATAATAATATTTATTACGTGAAGTAATAACAAAATAAAAACAAGAAACATAGTCCCTGTCTCGCTATCCGCCCTATTTAAATTTAATTTCAAATTTAAATTTTTATCAAACAAAAATAATAGATTTATCATCATTTTTAAAGAGAATATAAGTTTTTTATAATAAATTGATAAAAAAGTAATAATATTTATTAAATAAAATAAATAAAAAATGGGGGCGATAAATGGGGCAGAGGACCTGCCCCTCCCTGACTCTATCTCGCCCCGAACCCGTCTCGTCCTTGTTTAAACGGGTATGAGAATGGAGCAATGTAACAAAAATACCAGATGGGACAAGGGGTGAGAATGATCGACCCGTCTCATACCTGTCCCGTTGCCATCCCTAATCGAATGTTGGGGAAAAAGGAAGCACAAATATTTTTAATACCCTTGGAATATGGAGTACTCAGTATTTTCTATCACATTTAATTAACATATATTAAATAGTCGGGATTCAAACATGAATGACTAATGTACATGTCAATTAAGTAGATTAAATTTAAATTTAAGTTTTTTATCAAACAAAAATAATAAATGTGTCATATTTTTAAAGAGAATATAAGTTGTTTATAATAAATTGGTAAAAAAGTAATAATATTTATTAAATAAAGATATAAAAAATAAAAGCAAAAAATAAAATAAATAAAAAATAAATGGGCGCGATAAATGGGGCAGAGGACCTGCCCCGCCCTGACTCTATCTCGCCCCGAACCCTCCCCGTCCTTGTTTAAACGGGTATGAGAATAGAGTAATGTAACAAAAATACCAGATGGGATGGGGGGTGAGAATGACCGACCCGTCCCATACCCGCTCCGTTGCCATTTCTAATCGAATGTTGGGGAAAAAGGAAGCACAAATACTTTTAATACCCTTGGAATATGGAGTACTCAGTATTTTCTATCACATTTAATTAACATATATTAAATAGTCGGGATTCAAACATGAAGAACTAATGTACATGTCAATTAAGTAGGACATAGAGTACTCAGTTCCACTCCGAAAATACTAAAAAATTTGTATATTCTCAATTTTTGTCAAGAAAATATCCATATATAATGAGTTGGAAGTGTAATTCTTCCAACTTCATCACTGCCACCCCAATGAGAAATTTTACACCATTTTATATGGAAAAAGTTTCTAGTCCATAATCATAAATTTCCTCAAGTCAAATTTAGTAATTTAATCTTGCCTACAGACTTTAGGTTAATTCACATTATTAAAGCTTTAAGCTACTATAAACGAGAAAACAATATTTATTTTATATTATGTGTTACACCCTCACATGCCTATTTTATATTTTTCAAAAGTTTAAGACGCAGTTTAAGATCGATGGCATTTTCGTCTCATCCGTTCCGTCAGCCAAAAGCGATTCGGTTAGCTATATCTTGATTCTCTAAATTTGTGTGACATAATAGAAAAGTGCCTAAAAAAAATAAAAATTCAATCACCTAAGTCAAACAAAACCATTAGTTTCGTGACTAATAGTGTGTTCACACATTTTTTTTCTTGACGTAGGAACCCGCAATTGCTACCAGCCAGCGGAGCCCCGACCATTCCGAAGAGGCGGAAGCCCGACCACTGTGAGTGCGAACTAGGTAAACCACGTTCCATGTGCAGTAACCCACAAACTACACATGAGAAGTAAACCGCACTAGGCAAGTCTAGTGCGACGGACTCGATCGAGGAAGTGTTGGCAGAGAATTCGAATTCGTGACTTTTAATTTCTGCGTTCACCTGCTCCACCAACTCGATCATCGGTTCACATATATGTTCACTGTTTTTTCTTTTCGCTCCATGTAGTAGTACACGACAATGTTGAATTTAGAGGAGGAAAAGCTAACAACTTCTGCTCTTTTTCATAAAGTTGAGGCAAAAGATGACATTATTTTCAATTAGCTTAACTAATTTCTCGGAAATAATTCAGTAAATACAACAAACATTTAAATAATTGAACTCACATGTCATTTGCCCACCAACCTCCATCGTTTTCTGTCTTTTCAGACAAAAAGGAGAGCAATTTCTGAACTACATTGTTAGTCTCGTCATTAATCCATTCATTGCGGAGTTGATTATTATGAAAATTTTGAACCCGAACTCTAGTTTAAAGTCTTTAGTGGGCACATCTACTTATGTGACAAAGGAGATTACAACATTGAAATTTCGAGGTTTAGTGCTAAGCACGGGGTTTAATGATCTTGACTGTTGCTTGGAAGAATAGATTTATTTGATAGTGAAGTTTTGACAGAGTAGCGATACTTGAAGTTTTGACAGTGAAGTTAGCGAAGATTTCATAGGACGGTACTTATATTTTAGAATTGTTTAGGTATCTTTCCGTAAAGATTGACTATGATTCGTATAGTCAAGGTTAGATAGGATCTGAGTGAGATATTTCTAGTCAAATTTCATTTGTATTGAATCGTCTTTCAAATGGGAGGTCGTTTCAAGATAATTCGAGCAACTTACACACATAGTTTGTGATGGACAATTATGCTCTTATTCCTCAACAACCAGGTCCACTTACACAATTTGTTTTTGATGGAATGGTCAAACACTAGCAGATTCACACATAAACCGTATAGGTTATGTATTGTCTCTTATGAGATAAATTTTACATTGATTTTTGATAAAATAA